TCGATGAAACCCTTGAGATTGAAGCGGAGGATCAAGAGACGAAATAATCGACTCCACTTTTTATAATTTGGTGCTGAGAGACTGAGTTGAACCGGGATATGAAGTTTGATGTTGGAGATGGTGGTGAAGGCAAGATGAGGAGAATTATTTGGAGAAGAGGTTTCGTTGTTGTTGGTGACTTTGCCAGATGAGGCGGAGTCGGCCATGGTTGCCGGGGGAAGAAGAATCCGACGAGGGAGGGGGGTTGGGGGCTTGGCCGAAACTCAAGAAGGAGAAGGAGAAGGAAAGCCGTGAAAGATTAGGGCTTTGATACCATGAAGAATGAATATTTTCAATTGAATTCTTATGAGAGATTACATGTGTATATGTACAAGAGTTTCCTAATGACAATAGGAAACAATAATTAATACACCCTATACAAATATGGTAGCTACAATATACATTAATATTAAATATAGTAAGAATATATTTAACACACAAAATCATTATCTCTAAGATAAAATAAATGAATAAATAAATAAATAAGAGATCAATGGAATTTTATTGCTCCCTCCGTCCCAACATGGACTTTATCATTATTTTTTTAACAATTAAATGCCATAATTACCCATTTATTTATTTATTTATTACCCCCCCGCTAATTCAATGGGCAGTATGCAAATGCAATTTGTACATTAGAAAAGTTTAAATTGAAAAGGTCAAAATAGTCAAAATAGTGGCAAAACAACAAATGATTCTTTTGAGCGCACACTTTTATACTCCGTAGTACTCCCATTAGTCCCATATTATTGCTGAAGTTAATACTCCGTAAAGGGTTAATTTGACTGTTAAAGTCAAGTCTGAAATAATTCAACGAGCACAACAGTGGCATATATAGATACTTCAATAATCCTAGGATCAGAATTTCTAAAAAATAAAAAGCCTTATTATTGATGTTCCTACTTCCTAAAACAAACAACCATAAAAGAGAAGAAAGGGCTATCATATATTCAGATAATCAGAAATTTACCTAAATAGTACCAAAATATAATAATTTTTCCTAAATAGTATCATATGTATTTTTTTCCCAATGTAGCACTCTTAGCCATTATCTATTAGTTATTATTCAAATAAATGTTCACCATTACTGGATATTATTTCTCCTTCTAGACATTATTAAATGCTATTTAGAAAATAAAATAGTTTAAGTAGTATTTAGAGAAATGACTTAAGTTTTTTGTGCTTTTTAGTGCAAATATTTCTTTAGATAATAGCTTAATGCTCAAAGCTCAATGGCACTAAGGTCCCATCATCTTATCCTATTAGGGTGCATTTGGAACTCGTAAGATGCATGGTAAGGGAGGAAATGAGGGATGACAATAAATTGTCGGGGGAATTTGAAAGGAAAAAATGTGGGAAAATAAGAATCATATTTGGTTGATTAAATACTCTCAAATTTGGTACAAAAAGATCATTAATACAATGTTTTGGTAAATCCAGGGGTCATTAGCATAATTTTTAAAGTTTAGAGGCAATCGATGCAATTTTAGAAAATATGGAGAGTAAATGTAATATTCTTCTTAACTAATACAAAAAATTACTATTGATGTATCCTTTTTCAACTATAGTCATAGTCCACTGAAAGCGAACATCTGAATGCAGCATTTAATTTGACATAGGGTGGACTTGAAATTACATGTTTATTCCTCATTTTAACATCACAATGACAAAAAGTCAAAACATGATTAAATATGAAAAGCTACTTAGTTACCAATAAAAGAAGAATTGTAGACATAATACGGAGTATTTAATTTGATAATAGAAAACTATAAAAGACCAATTATAAAATATATTCTAATTACTAGTAAATTAGGTCCACTCTTTTAATTATATTTCACTGTGTCGTCCTCTTGTTTTTTGTCGAACATTGATTTATGGCATTTGAAAAAAATATGCAAATTATTTCATGGTGTTAATGTCCACACTTATTTTATGTACTTTAATACTCTGTATATAAGAGTGCATCTATGGTGTATCTTAGGTATACGTGTATATCAATTTTGTAGACTTTCTTACCAAAAAAATCTTTTTTTTAAAATTTTTTCTATTTAAAAAAATAAATGCTTATCTAAGCAATAAAGAAATGCTTATTTTTTCTCATATATAGGTCTATGGTGAACCTACCATAAAATTTGCCAATATATAAACATTATGAATGAATTGAACTCTTTAAAAAAATAAAAACTCTCTATATTTGTCCATAAAAAGTATGAGAATGTTCATATTTCATATTTGGATCTTAGGATTGAGTCATGGAAGCACCGCTCTACAAGTTTATCTGAAATATTAATGGTAACTACTCCGGGGTAAAAAGTTTCTAAAATTTGTTTCATAATTATTCTCAAGAAGTTATCATAGAAATATTTGCACTTAATAACACTAAAACTTAAGTCATGTTCCTAAATAGCATTTAAATTGTTTTATTCCCTAAATAGCACTTAATAATGTCCATAATGACCAGTGATGATGAATATTTGCTTGAATAATGACTAATGCATAATGACTAAAAGTGCTACATTGGGGAAAAAAATACATGTGGTGCTATTTAGGGAAAAATCATTATGTTTTAGTGCTATTTAAGTAAATTCCTCGTTATTATATCCTATCCTTGTGAAATTTGGAAACAACGGATTTTGACGGGCTGTATATAATAATTTACAATAAATTAAAAACTTCATCCATCTCAAAAAAGCAAAACATTTTGTGATTGAATTTGTTTAAGTAAGATAAAATCTTCAAAAAAAAAATAATGATCTTTTTTAAGACGTTGTAAAAAGAATACACGGTCTTTAATTTTTTATAGACTTAATTAGGAAGTAAAAAATTACTACGCTTAATTAATATTTGTATTAAAAAAACACTTTCGTTATATAAGCTTTTTTATTTTATACATTTGAAATACATATTGCAGGCGAAAATCTTGTCAAAAAAGAGGGGAAAATAAAATGAAAACAATTAAAAGTGTACTAGTAGGATTAGGAGTCCTGGACTAAAATTAGCAAATATAATTAGGGCGAATTTAGGAAACTTGTCATTCCATAATTCCATAATTACCCTCCAGGAGGGCCGAAGCATATATATATGGAGCAATCCCAGCCTCTTGCATTACACGCACTCCACAGTATCTGATCTCTTCTTAATTACCCTTAATTGATTTTTCTTGCTGCGCGCGGATTCAATTCCAAAAAGCAAGAAGACGATGACGGCGCGCGCGGCGACACCGCCCGCCGCCGAGGAATTCGCCGCAGGTCTGCACTTACTGGCGGACGTGTCGCTACTGGTAGAAAGGGGTTTCAGTGGCAGCCCGGAAAACCCCCGCGACCTCAGCCCCGCGGCCAAGTCTCTCCGGGAATCGGTGATTCTCGGGAAGCTCATCAGGAACATCAGGAACATGGATTTCGTCAAAATGTCCGCCTCCACCATGCCCTGGTTTCCGCGTGTGGCGGCCCATAAAAGGAAGATTTCATCGGAAAAGGCCCATTGCTCCCATCCCCTCGAGCCCATTAAAGAAGACCCCCAAGAAGAAGAAGAAGAAGAAGTTGAGATTAAGAAACGGAAGAAGAAGGAGAATAACAACAACAACAACAACAGCCCGCAGGGACATGGGAATGATTTCCGGGTCGGTCGGGGCTCGGCCTCGGGCATGCCCGAGATCTTCAAGGAGAAGATTGGGGAGCTAGCGGGGCCGAACGCTATAATGGGAGGGGAAAAGCTTCTGATAGAAAAGGCGCTGACGGAAAGCGACACAAAGTTACTGCAAGGGAGGCTGACGATGCCGGAGAGGAGCATGGCGGAGAGGGTGTTTCTGACGGAGGAGGAGAAGCGGTTGGTGCGGCAGAAGGCGGCGGTGGGGAACAGACTGGAGGGGATCGACGTGACGCTGATCGACCCGTTGCTGGGGAGGTGGGGGGTGAAGTTGAGGAGGTGGAATATGGAGAAAGGGGTGGGGAAGCGGAGCAGCGTGTCGTACGCCATCAACGATGGTTGGAACAAGGTACTGAAGGCACTCCACTGGGAAAATGGGAATGGGGACGGGATCGTCGTTCAAGTGTGGAGCATTCGCGTCAATGGACGCCTTTGGGTCGCAGTCGCCAGGCCATAGCTTTGTTTTTAGTCTGATCATCGAGGACGACGAGGAAGACGACGAGGACAACCAATTCAACACAACCATTTATGCTTTGATATGATCCTTTAATTTGTGTAGTTCAACACAAACTCTGGTTCATGTTGGAATTGAATTTGCCACTGTTAGCTTATTAATTAGTCCATACATATATAGTTAAGGATTAACAGTAGTGATGATGTTAATTACTCCCTCCGTCCCGTAAAGTCTTACCCATTTTGACTAAAGTTGAAATTAAGAGAGGGATAATTTTGTGTCGACTTTCCAAAAATACCTTTGATGTGATGGGTAAAAGTAGGATGTGATGTGTAGATTATTAGGAAAAAGGTATGATGTGATAGGTAAGGTTTGAAAAAGTAAGGGGTAAAAGGGGTTTTTTTAATAGAAATGGGTAAGAGATTGTGGGACGCAATTTTTTTGAAACTTGTAAATCTTTTTGGGACGGAAGGAGTATTACATTCATATTCGGCAGTAATGAATACATATGATCCTTAATTAGCTTGATGGCAGTGTTGGTATTGATTGCCCAATTAGATTTGGTGTTAAATACTGCATATACACATACATACATACATACATACATACATACATACATACATACATACATACATACATACATACATACATACATATATATATATATATATATATATATATATATAGAGAGAGAGAGAGAGAGAGAGCTGTCTTAATTATATTGGAGGAGGTGGTGATCAATGTATTATATGGCATGCAATTAATTAATCCCATTTATGCTGTGCTTAAATATATTGCACATTCAGTAGTATTGTTTGACTGTTAAAGTGTTATTTAGTTCAATGAGTGGAACCCCTTATTGAATCTCTCTTTCACTCACTCCCTATGTTGCTTGATCCAAAGTTTTTCCCTTCACCAAAACACTTTCTCTTTCGTTTTTTCTCTTCCACTAAAACATTTCACTTTCTATTAAAAAATCATTTTTATTCATACTTTTTCTTACCCTACCTATCACATCATACGTTTTCATTAATAATCTATCTATCACATCATATTTTATCCATCACATCAAAAATAAGACTAGAAAGTCAACTACTCCCTCCGTCCCAAAAAGATTTACACGTTTTGACTAAAGTTAAAATTAAGGGAGGGATAATTTTGTGTTGACTTTCCAAAAATACCCTTGATGTGATGGGTAAAAGTAGGATATGATGTGTAGATTATTAGTAAAAAGGTATGATGTGATAGATAGAGTTTGAAAAAGTAAGGGGTAAAAGTGGTTTTTTAATAGAAATGGGTAGAGATTGTAGGACGCAATTTTTTTGAAAGGTGTAAATCTTTTTGGGACGGAGGTAGTATAACATAACCATTTCTTATTTGGATTTTTGGTCAATTAGGAAGTGTCTTTTTCAAATGGAAGGAGTATATATGTTTGTAATGGCTCCTTTCTAGACATTAATATATACCTAGCTACTATATTTTGCCATCGAAGTGTTGTTTCATTCTCAATGACTAGCTAGATATATGTGGAGGTTTTGCAATGTGGAGACGAAGGGTGAGAGTGTGGTGGTGGCAGCGCCAATGTGGTGGCGATGGAGGCAATGTGGTAGGGAGGGAGGTATTGGTGGCAGCATGGGGCAAGAGAAGACAATGTGGTAAGTCAAAATTAATATAGAAAAATTTGCACAAAATAGAACTAAAACATAATGACTTTTCCAATGCAGGACTTAAACTTTTTTATTTTCTAAACAACTTCTTACAAATGACCTAGTGAGAGGAATAATGTTCAGTAATGATGGACATTTACTTGAATAATGACTACTTGATAATGATCAAAAAACCTACATTGGGAAATAAAAACATATGGTCCTATATTGGGAAAGTTATTATGTTTTAGTCCTATTTAGGTAAATTTCTCATTAATATAATCTTAGGAACTAAGATAATGTCACGCTCGATGCTGCTATTGATGTCAAAAATGCCATAGTTGTACTACATACATATTCTTAGCTACATTATAGGGTTACAGAGGGAAAATCTCTCATTTTATTTTATTTTATTCTCACTTTAGTCTTTTTTTCCCATAATAAAATTATCCTTCTTTCAAAATGCTTCATACCTTTGAATTATTTTGCGAGCATCTTTCCGCCTAAGACCAAAGAGGGGCATAAATGTCAACATTTCAAATCACAATGTCACTGAAAGCCCATTTTCCATTTTTCGCTCAATTTTTGTTTTATTTTTTCTAGTTTTTTGTTTCTCATTGTTTCCTATTTCATAAAGTTTCTAAAATACAAAGTTTTTTTTAAAATTATTTTTCCAGAATGATTAAAAATTAAAATATTTTTTTTGAAATAACAATAAACGAAATGAAAAATATTGACAAGTAATCTATCCATATCTTTGGAATAATACATTCTCATTATTTTTGCTTTACAACTATAAGAAAACCTTTTTTAGGCGTTGAAAAAAAGAAAATGTGGAATAGAAAAAGAAAATAAAATAAATAATTCAATAAAAAATTAGAAAAAGGAAAAAAAGAAAGGTCTCTCTCTATCAAAAATTAACTTCCCAATTTGACTTTCGTGGTAAAATTTTTTGAACTTTGACTGTATTTTACGTAAATAGCACTAAAACATAATGACTTTTCCTAAATAGCACTGCATGTACTTTTTTTCCTAATGTAGCACTTTTAGTCATTATGCATTAGTCATTATTCAAGTAAATGTTTGTCATCATTGGTCATTATGGATATTATTAAGTGTTATTTAGGGAATAAAACAATTTAAGTGCTATTTAGGAAAATGACTTAAGTTTTAGTGTTATTTAGTACAAATATTTCTTATTGAAAAACATATTAATTTTTTGTAATATATTTCTATAAATACGTATAGATATTAATGATCAAATTGTTACATTGGAGACCGTAAAACATCAACTTAGAAATTAATTTAAGGACGGAAGGAATACAAAATATACTGTTTAAGAGATAGGGATTATGTAGCAAAAAGAGCATTGAGAAAGTTCTTTTTTCATAACGTCTTAAAGCCGATCTTTATTTTTTAGAATGTCCCGAAAAAATGTTATTCTTTTAAATTTCAAAAATAAAGGCAGGTTTTTTTTTCAATTTCTTTAATCTATTGGGCGTCGGTCCAAAAAAATCTTACTAGGAAAAAAATGAATTTTCGAACATCCTACATAAGATAGAGCCTGTTCAGCATACTTCAAGACTACACTTTTCTTTTTCTATAAGAGCAATTTTTTTGTTTTTTTTCATTTCATTTTCATACTATTTTCTTTTTCTTATACCTCGTATATGTACGTCTTTTATCTATTTTCATTTGCCTAAAACATACATTTAA